ATTGTACAGTGGCATTAAGTGCCGTAATGTGAACCTCTGCCTACCCCTTCGGGGATAAAAGGCGTGATGTTATGTTGATGTTGTTGTATAATAAACAAAGTTGGCAAAGCATAGAGTTTAACGCAAGAAATGAATACAATAAAATACTATACAATATAAATCTTATGGAGAAAACTGCATGAATTTTGTATATCGAAAAGTCAATGAATGGGTTTGATATAATTTGTCGTAAACCAGTATCATTCCTAAATATTGACTTTTATAATTATTCAATCGACAAAGCTGTCCACATGTCATTTAGCTCTTAGCAAAGGTGTACCAGACCGAACCGGATAAATCTAGTCACAACTAGATGTATCCAGTTTTTTATATCTAGCAGGACAAGTTTACTAAGATTACCATTGATTATCGTATTTAATATTTAACAATTAATGAAATATTTTTGCTTAGAGCTAGTGTTATTTTTGTTTTTTTAATTTAATTCTAATAAGATTCTTCCTCGTGTAGGCACCAAAATACGACACCTATATATATTAAAATAAACTGTTCTATTTAATGACCTAATGCACTTAAATTAGCATCGATTTAAAGCGATGTCGAATAATAAAAAATCTAGATTTAAATAAATAGAGTTTGAGATATTCGGAACTACATTTTTGTTAGCGGCAACACTTTGTGTCTAGACATAACTATAAAACTATTTTCTCAATCCTCTTTGCATACTCGTAAAATAAAAAAAAAATCGCAGAAGATATCTAAGCCTATTTTACTGAACCTATTTTTATATAAAACTGGTCGTTTTAACTATAAGTCATTGGCCTTCGCAGGACTAGACTGCTTCGTCAAATAAGATACTTCAACAAAACGATTTGAATCAATGACATAATCATTAATTTTAAATAAAATGCTTTCCGCCATGTTTGTTGAAATTCGTTGAGGTGGGAAAAGTGATCACGAGACTAGACCTATTAGGCTTGTCTTTTTCGATTGTTTGACATGTTTAAACAAGAAATATTAGTTGCATGTATTTAATTAATAATATTTAGACTGCCTCGTTGGCCGAGTGGTCGCAAGTGGGACTGCCGGGCAAGGGGTCTCAGGTTCGATTACCGGGTCAGGCAAAGTAACACTGGGCTTTTAATATGGTATATGGCAATAGGCTTCTCCCCAATTACATGGGACTCATAACATAAATAGTGAAAAGTCGGTGTTACATTGTAGGTACAATGGCATTAAGTGCCGTAATGTGCACCTCTGCCTACCTCTTTGGGGATAAAAGGCGTGATATTATGTTATGTTATGTGAATCTTTATATGCTAAACTTTATATTATTATTATTACGAACATCAAAATATCTTTAAAATTAAAAAAATGTAGGTATCTACACATGTGTAAAAATTACCTTATGCCTTACTCTTACGATCATCTCTGTCTACCTATATCTTACTCTCACTCACAAAACAAAACATTAGATTTTTCATTCTTCTGGATTTTTTCCGAAGTTAGTAACTTATACTGTATACTTACTATATTACTGGGACCAACTGCTATCTTCCCTTCTCAACCTGCCAAGGATGGCAATACTTACTCAGTTGGACTCATTAGATATTTTTTGAATTTTTAATTGTCACCAAAATGTATATATGACAACTGCTAAAACCGAGACCGATGGCTTAACGTGATCTCTAGGGCAACGAAGCACTGTACAGTGTACACGGACGAATTAATCAATCAAAATTAAACGCTTCATTGAAAACGGCTCCAATTTACGCGCGCTTTCCAACCGTCACTAAGCTACAATTCCATTTTTAAAATCCATTACCAAAGACAAGACTAAAGAGGTAAGTTCTCAATGTTATCTTTTTAAAGAATTCACTTTTACAAACAATCGCATTTACGTTTACTATGAAAGGTGAAAAAAGTGGTTTTTTACAATTTTTTCCTTTAACATAGTTGTTTGTTTATTGGTTTTCATCACGAAATGTATTTGTGGTAGGAATGCGTACAATTATGTTGTGTGAACGACGATTGGTCAGGCTATGTTTCATTAATCGTTTGTTTTTTTAAGAGAAATTAAGTAAATGTTTCATTGCACGCCCACAATTTTCGTGGCGTTTAGACGATTATATTTCGACGTTAGTATAATATAATAGTCGACTAATTTTGTGGGCTTGCGACTAAAACGGATTATTTTTGATTGGCAACCTTATTTGGGAAATGTGGAGTTTTGTTTAAATGAAATAATTTTAAAGAAATTATACATATTATGAATATGAATTGGAGAATAGTGAACATTATGATTAACGTGTAAATCGTGTATAATAATGTTGTTGTGTTGAAAAGAAAAAAAAACTTGCTATCTATACTTTTCATTCTTTACTTGAACATTTAGTACAATCAAAATTCCAAAATCTCCTTTAACATACGCATTTGAAAGCATTAAATACCTTTTTATTAGGTTCAAAAGTTATAAAATCTAATCAAATGATTACTGCCAATGTAAATGCCATTGAATAAGCGTAAACCATTGTGTAGTTTTAGTATTACGTCTACGGAACCCAAAACATACACGGTGACCAAACTGGCCAAGTTCAACAGACTCCACTCATTAGTTTTTGATCATACCTTCATAAACAACTTAACGTCATATCTACCACTAGAACTTCTCACAAAAACCAACCAAGAATGAAGGTATCAAGTGCTATTTTTGTATGAGAGACTCATGTGAGATTTTTTATGATACGCCATACAACAGGTTTCTGGTTTCGGACGTTCGAAATGATAAAATTCCTCTTTCGAACACCCATAGATTAGAAAATTCTCAACTATAAGTCGCTTGTTTATAGGTTCAGTTTCGAAGCAGGTTTTTTTACTTAATTCCTTATGAATGTTTAAAATATTTTATGTATTCTTAAATCGTTGTTGGTCCGTGAAAGAATGCGTGGACACGATATGTAAGTACGTTACAATTTGCATTGAATTGATTTGGAATTAAATATTCTGTGGCCAACAATTGAGTTTGGCAATTTACGATAGCCTTTGTTTGTTAATTATTGTGTTTAGAGAAACGTTTCGCGATGACGATGACTCACGGGGTAACTGACAGAACTTCGCTTTGAATATCAAATTGAGTTATTTTGGGAATACGTGACAGTTTAATATTTTATTGACTGTAAGTTAATGTGATAGTTTTTTTTTAAACGTTGCCCACACTAGCATTTTCTCCTTTGTCGTGGGTGCGCTTACAAACATACAAGTTCACATACACATGACACACAGACGCGAAACAACAGTCTGTGGATCACTCAAAGAGTTGTTCCATGCGGGAATCGAACCCGCGACACGTTGCGCGGCAGCCAGTTGCCCAGTCACCGCGCCAACCGTACATTCCTGTATTGGTTTAAGCAAGAGTGTTGGGTGAGTGTGTCGTGTGTTGACAGCAGTGTACAATGCATTTATCATTAGCTATTCTCATTCCGAGAATATCGTGAAACCGACTAATAAGGAGACATTAACAGAGACTACGGCACCTCTTGAACTGAGATCACCAGTCCACCAATCAAGCATGAAACTTACGACAAACTGTTTAAACACAAAGATAATAATTAAATATAATGACTGCCTCGTTGGCCGAGTGGTCGCAAGTACGACTACCGGGCAAGGGGTCTCGGGTTCAATTCGGTCGGGCAAAGTATTACTGGGTTAAAAAAAACTCAGTAGTAGCACGGAGTCTGGAAATGTGCCCGGTATATGGCAATAAGCTCACCCCCTATTACACGGGACTCATAACATAAATAGTGAAAAGTGGATGTCACTTCTGTGTGCACCTCTGCCTATAACCCTTCGGGGATAAAAGGCATGATGTTATGTTATGTAATAGTTAAATATTGTATATATAGATAAGATTGAGTGAGTTTAAGGTCTTATAGACTATAATAATATGAGACAGCATTAGTTTACTTAAATTCACACCCTATTATAAAACACGAAAGAGTAAGTTATATTTTCATCTCTGCCTAATCCCCTGGGTATATTGACGATATTGATATATCGTTTTACATAATGAAGAAAATGACTTCTACTAATGCATTCCACTAATCATCTGAGTGCATTACACACTGGTGCCGATTCGGTTACTGATTAAATAATATATATTGTCAATCATGAGAAGAACTGTAGGAAATAGGTACTAGAATTGAGTATGTAGCTTCACTTTGCAATTTTTTTCTTGACCTTTGTTCATATCAACTTAGCAAAGTAGTGTTTAAAAACTGTATCCAGCTACTAAATGAAATAATAATAAAGTAATTAAACGATTTTATTAAAACTACTTTCACTGCCAATTATTCCACACCAGACTGATTGTGTACAAACTCAAAATTCAAAAAACTCCGTATATTTTTCTTCTGATAGAATATATCCACTTCCGAAGCTTTTTGCATAACCTCGTCGTCCACCGACGTCGCCGACGAGGAGTTCTGGATGAAGAGAAGATTCAATTAATACATGCTTCCCACTCGCACTTGTAATGCAAGCGAGATGCGCGTAGGCAACGTGTTGGCGTCAACGCATTGTATGGACAGACATAAAGAATGAGCTTGTTAGTCAAATGTAAATGACGACAAAAGATTTAATTGTTGTCACAACGTGAACTTTTGATTGAATTGAATTCATTATTCAAGTTATAAGTTCTAAAGAAACACAGATGAACCTCGAAATGTCACTAATCGAACACGACTAGAGGCTAACGTCATTTATAACAACATAAAAAATTCAAACGTAACATGTATGCTACACAACATTGTATGTAATCAGTAAAACACTATATTTGTCTAGCAATTTAGCTGAGTTAGCACCAACACGCTACAAGTTAAAATAATCACTCGAATGTACAGCTGAAATTGAACCTTGCCTCCTATACTAAAGAACATTGATTCGGGTATTGCGTATGAACAGAAACCATTTCTTTAGCTGACTTCCTGCAGCACGCGGGGATCATCTCGCACTTTGGATGGTGTACACAATCAGGAATGGCGTCGCACGGTATGCAACTGTCGCACACTCGAGCCAGACAGCTCTGGATCATTACGCATGGAGGCTCATGCCTGCAAACCATCTTGCATTTTGACTGGCTTTGTGTAGCTACTTCTTCTCTAGCCGTCAGCACTATATAGTTTCTCGTACAAATCGGAACCTCAACACACTTAGGCCTATGTTGACACGACTGGAACGCTTCGTTCTGGTTCTTCAGCTCCAGCACACATAGCGGCACTTTCTCACACATAGGCACGTGTACACAAGAGTTTTGTATCTTTGGATCAAATTTTGCTTTACAACAAGTTCGAACGACTTCACAAGGAGGATTATGGTTACAGACACATTGTATAATCTTCTCTTTTCTAGGTTTTGGGACTCTGAAGTCGATTCCTGCAGGTTTCAGTTTTTCTTTACTATGCGTAATCAATTTTTTAACATCTGTGGGTGTTTCTCTACAGTAGAAACAGCCTTCTATATTATCGTTTTGACCTTTCTCCATTTCCGTAGGAGATAACCAGTACTGGCAGCTTTCATTAACAGCTTTCAACTTTTGGATTTCATTGGATGAAATTCGGTACTTACGAAAATTTTCATCATTGACGTCATTTACGGCAGTTTTTTGATTTTGCAATTCATAAGGTGACGGTCGATATTGGCAACTACCATCGATGACAGAAGCCGGTTTCACAATAGAAGAATTTTGGTATTGGAAACCTTCATTCGACTTCCATTTGTTACTTGACTGTATCCCTATGATAGACGAGGAGTATTGACAGCCACTATCACGAATCAGATATGGATTCTGCTGACAAGTTTGAACACGAAACTGAGTACTCGGTTGCTTCTGGAAATATGTACTGCGCGGTGAGGAGCAGAACTTGTACGTTTGGGGTGTACTTGTTCGCCACGTATCCATAGTCACTTCTTCTTTAGCAGGTGGTAGATTGAGGCAGCCGTTTATTAAAACACAAGGAGGGTTATGAATACATAATATTTCACCATTGTACTTTTGACTTAAAGACTCTGTGATGTCTGTGTGAGAAAGCTGGCACGGTCGAGTTCCTTCGTTATCTGCATTAGTAGAGGCGTGTGTAGGTGCTGAAGTGTAATTTTCTGGACCAGCTTCTTTAGAACTTGTATATTGTGGTTTCTTTTTCTCTGGGTAGCATTTGCAATATACTTTTTCGCGTTTTAATTTGGAGCGAGGCCCTTCTTGAGAGGTATCTCTAGGTTCAACTCTGGAAGGAGGAGCTTCTGAAGCGTGCATTGAAGCGTTTCTTGAAAATGTCGTACTGCAATCACAAGTTGGTTTCTTGTTTACTCCAGTTTGTGACCCTTGAGATAAATCACGGGTACACAAACTCTTATCACACGGCTTGCAAACATTAGATGAACTTTCAGTACGACACTTGCATGGTCTAGCATTAGTATTAGATTGATTTTGATTTTGATTTTGTTGCGAGTTTAATTTGGTAAAAAAGTACTCCCAAAAACCGGAGCACGTGTCAGGTAGCTCATTTTTTGGACAATTAGGGCCAGTGGCCGTGTACGCACCACCTGTATTCGATCGATTCAGGCAAGGATAAGTATATACTTCATAATTGCGATTTACATTTGTAGAACATTGTTGTTCTGCATTTTTATGTCCCTTAGATTCTTTTTGTGTATGATACTCTTCTCTTACATCGGTGTTCATTTTATGCCTATTTTTACTCGGTTTTTCAACATGCTTTTTATATATCTCGCGTTGTACAAATCTATATTCATTATCGTCCGAAGAAGATGTGAAACACCACGCGTTTGATTTCTCGTTTCTAACAGTTTTGCGGTTCAATAACGGTTCTCTAACAATTTTTGTGTGTTGAAGCGGACTTGACTTGGCATGAACGTTCCCTTCAACGGCATAAACAGGTTGGACGGCATAGAGCTGCTGACTTCTATTAAATTTCCTTATTTTGTGCTCACCGTTGACGTTAGTAGCTTGACAACCGGTATCAATGTTTACGTTTTCAGTTGGGTTTTCCTTTATAATTGACATTTGTTTAACATTATTACTTGACCGTCCGAACATGCATGATAGGCAGGGCATTACTTTACGTCGTGTGGACGCACGTTTCGATTTGACTGTTTCGATTTGATCTCCGCCGTCTAATGTCTTGCAAGTTTTATTTTTGTACGTTTTACGTACTTTTACTCCTAGCGTTCCTCCATTTTGGCTAATGGTTTGTGTTTCCCATATTTCTCTGGAGCTGTTTTGGGTAACAGTGTAGGATGAGCTACATGTTGGCGTGTTGGCGTCTCTCTTTGATTTCGGGCGAAAGCTTTTCCAATAAACCTTTTGTTTCTTCCTTTGTTGAAGTGTAGAATTACTCGTACCATCGAAGTCTGAACTGTCCGAGTGTTCGGACAAATCAGAATCGTAGGTCATTAGAAAATCGCCCGGCAGGTTGTACATATTTTATTTGCTTCTTTATTGCTACTGTCACTGACATTTCGAATAACTATTGTTATGTTATCTGCGCCTATTCTTATGTAAGTAATTGTATTTAATGATATTTGTACATGATTTTTTTATAATTTTTTCGATTTTGTAAAAAATTGTAACGCCTTGGCAATGCTGTAATTTTATTTTGAAGTTGTCATATTTGTTTTTCTATGACTGTTCTGTCACGATGAGAGTAAGGACTCATTGGTCAGTTAACAAGCTAAAGAAGGGTCAATATCTTAGCTGATTGACTGTTGAAGAAAACTCAACGTGAACAATACTTTTGTAAGAACTATTTCAACCTCAAAACTCTTATCTATTCTTCATAAACTCAAACAGATTTTAATCACAGCAACATTAACTGACGAACGAACAAAATAAAATCCTAACATTGTTTCTATTAAAACGGTATTTTTTGTCCAGTGTCGAAATAAAAGGCCGGTACATTGGGGTTAAAACAAAGAGTTGAATGTTGTATGGTATTAAATGGCGTATTAAAGAAGGTGATACGTCATAGTTCATAGTTACGTTGCACGAACGAAACGAACTTTTGTTTCATTGATGGTGTAGTTTTGATACTTGTTATGAATTAATCATTTTTGCTACTTGATCATAATTTAGTATGTATGCAGTTGTCTAAGATGTGATGGGATGATCTTGGGTGTTATTCTGATGTTCTCAAAAATAAAATGCAACGAAGTTCAAAATTGCATTTAGGATAAGAGTCGCCTTCGCATGAAAGTTTAAATACCACAGAGCAAATGCCGTTACTTTTCTAATTTTTTTCAGTTTTAAATTTCATATTACATCTGCATATTTATAACCACTGCCATTGTTTATAAACGAAACAGGTATATTTTTTTCTTTCCACTAAATATTTAGATTCACAAATCCATAGACTATTATAAAACAAATCCCATTATTCATTGAAAACCACCCATTCTACTAATCACATCATTCTCCAAGACAACACGTTTCTCACAATCCCACTACCTATCGATCAAGACTACACAATCGGACTACATGTGACGTCACACTATAAAATAAAAGGAATGGAATAAAAAATCAAGTTCGTTTGAATGCCGAAGCATGGCCGGGTCGTAGGTACCCGTAATGAATCGAAAGGGTTAACTTCAAACTGGGGTGCGGCCCTGCGTAATCATAGGTGATCTAGCAACTGCTGCCTCTATTGTTTAATAGCGACTGCAACCGGTTGCGGGGATTAAATTTGAATAAAATTGTCCGCTTGATGCTTCGTTGAGGCCCTTTTTATTACAAATGAAATTGTGAGATGGGTTGCTTAAATTGTGCTTTTAATGTTTGATGATAGGTAAGTGATTTGACTATTGTTTTAGGTACAAGAAAGTATTGATTTCCAGACTAGAATTTAGTATTCTAGAGTACCTACAATTACTTTATTGTCAATAGATACTTATCATATCACTAGCTACTTCCGCGCGGTTTCACTCGCTCTGCTCGGCGCCTATTAATCGTAGCGTGATGTTTTATAGCCTATAGCCTTCCTCGATAAATGGGTTATCCAACACAGAAAGAATTTTTCAAATCGGACCCGTAGTTTCAGAGATTAGCGCGTTCAAACAAACAAACAAACAAACAAACTCTTCCGCTTTATATAATAGTTTAAGATTTGAGTTTTACGAGTGCGTTTTTGCTTTGCTCATGGATTTTTACTATTACTCTTAAAATATCTAACTTATCTAAAATGTTATATTTATTGTCATTTGTAAGTATATTCAATGGGTTTACAAATTACTTGTCAAGCGAATGTGAGTACCAATACAAACCAGCTTTGGTTTACTGGTTTAAAACTACTGAAATGTATCTAACCACTACATAGTATAAAACAAAGTCGCTATCCGCCGTCTGTCTGTCCCTTTGTATGCTTAGATCTTTAAAACTACGCAACGACTTTTGATGCGGTTTCTTTTTATAAAAAGAGTGATTCTTCAGGAAGGTTTATTAAGTATAATACATGCGTAATATAGTAGAGAAACATTGATAAATTTAGAGGTTTCTAATTGCACCCATACAACCCATACCCATAGTGTTGCTATAATAAATAAATTAAAATAAGATAGTAAGTATTAACGCAATCGTCGCACAACGATTGCACAGATATGTTGCACTATGTATAACGTTTTTTCTCTATTAACGATTAAACTAAAGATGATGGGCTTTTTTTTAAGACTTTGACTGCCAATAAAAAACTGTTGAAGGTAAATCCTCCGCTAACGCCGGTCACCGGTGACCGCCATGGCGTTTAACGAGTTAAGGGGGGAAAATCATCGAATGACTGCTCCCGCCTGGGTGAGGCGGGAGGGAGTGTCAGCCTCTTACTGACTAAAAACCACCCCGTTCCTTCTCCTGCACGTCGAGCCTTGGGGCTGTGTGAGATGAAAATAAAACTAATTATCGATTAAAGGCCGTCACAGCCTAGCTTATAATTTGTAGTAGGTAATATATCGCGCTGTGTAATGTTATTATGTTATAACTTTATTACTAACCCTCCCCAACGTAGTTTAACTTAATAACAAGTTAACATACACATGTTAAGAGTTCATTTCATAAAACAAATATTTTTGAAAACAGATTTTGTATTACTGAGAAAAACTACCTAAATTATAAACTATAAACAAAACATGGATACCACAGACTGTATAGAAAAAATTGTTTGTGTCTTTCGAGCTCCCACGCGAAGACCACGCGTTGAACTGCCAAATATGTGAGCCCTTTAACTTAACAAAATATTAGGTACTTAAATAAAATCTCAGTAGAAGCACGCAGCCTGGAATTGTGCCCGGTATATGGCAATAGGCTCACCCCCAAATACATGGGACTCATAACACAAATAGTGAAAAGTTGGTGTTATATTGTACAGTAGATTAAGTGCCGTAATGTCCACCTCTGCCTATCCCTTCCGGAATAAAAGGCGTAATATTATGTTATGTTAAGTTCGTATCTATATAAAAATATAATTCTAATCAAAATTTTATGCGTGCTACTACTGAGAATTAATTTACAAAACTCAGTAATACTTTGCCCGACCCGGGAATCGAAAACGAGACCTTGCCGCCAGTCGCACTTACGAACACTCTTCCATCGAGGCAGCTGTGCATAATATCTGTGTGTAAACGCACCCGAACCAAGAAAAAATTACCAAATAACTTAGAATTAGAAAAATATTTTACGATGTCTGCTAAGGCTAGTAGTCCACAAAAAACATCTTAATTCATTTTTAAATCATTAAAATGTTGTTGACATCATAGGAAGCATTAGTTTATAATAATATGTATAATAAATATGGCCGTGTGATAATTTGTAAGGAATTTAATATATTCATAGGCTATTAGTTAGAACACACCTCCAATGTAAAGCTGTCATAATAACCTCATCGATGCCAAATATAACCGTGATCAGTAATTTAAATTAAAAAAAAAACGAAATAGTTCAACTTTCAAAATTGTCTAGAAGAATTAAATGGTAATTTGATTGGTACTTGGTTAAAATTAGCTCTTATTTGTGGTTATTTATATTATGAATTATGATCTTAGATAGCCTATTCATCCCCCGCAAGAATTACATTAAAAATAATTTAGATTTAAAAATAGACGCATTAAAATCCTCTCTGGCATTTTAGCATATTATACTTAACAAAAAAAAAATACGTATCTATAAATAAAAAAAATTCGCCAACGTTGACGTTTAGATGCTGACTTCGAATTTCAAAAAACGAATGGAACGTCAATCGCGAATTTAATTTGATTGGTCGAATCCCCACGGGTATAGCCGAGGATCCCCGAAACGGGGGAAATCATGGAAAATAAAAATTTTATTGCATCATACGTGTGTGACCATTTTACGTTGAGCTTCGGCACCCTAAGCATTGTGTGGAGATTGTATAGTGTTGTGTGTGATTTAGGGTTGTAGATAGGATGGATTTTGGGGATGGGATATGTGGGGTAACCAATCGTGAGTCGATGTTGGGATTGATTGGCAAAGGGCGATTTGGCAGAGCTTCCCAGTTGTGGGGGTGCACAGTGATGTTGCTCACCACATGTGGGTGGGACCGGCAGTTGTGTAGGTAAACATTTTTATTGCATGTTAACTTGTTTGATTGTTTGTTGCCAGTGTGCAAAAATTGTGCTAATATTTTATCAACGATTTTGTTTAAATTAGTTTTAAACTTTTTTGTGTTGTGAACCTGTGTATCTGTATTTTAAATACCTAAATATTTGAAAGACTATCAGATAATTAAGAATATTCTTGTTATTATGAAATACGAATTGTTAAATTATTTTAATTTACAAACTTTGGAAAATAAAACCAAATTAAATTAGGTAATAGACATATTTCTCGTAAATATCTGTCTATTTATTTTAATTTTTGTTGCATAAAATAACACTTATCATAAAACAAAATGCTCTATGATCTATTTGCAACGAATTTAATATTAATATGGCAATTTTAAAATTATTTTAAAATGATTTTCAAATTTTTTGAAACCGATTTGTATTATTTTTAAATATTGAAATTGTGTAGATGTACGCATAATATTATGAATCTCGTTAAACAAAATGTGAAAGAAAAAATACTTAACCCTAAAACAGCCAATGAATTGAAACCGAGTCGTTAAAAATGTAATGATTTCATGGCAATAAAATAAAGTTCTTGACAAACGCCATTGGGTTCAGGCCCATGACGCTACCGTTACATCATAAAACCTTATTTGACCATAAAATAGTATAAAGTTAGCTTTCTATGGGATTTGGATATTTTCTATACACACCTGGTGTTAAATTTTATGGATGGGAAAGTGCCGTTTGGTGTTAATGACTTTTTTTAAATTAAAAGTGTCTATGTTAAAAACTTTTAAATAGTTATTATTCGTTGACATTACAAGGTTTAAAATTTCAGTCGTAATAAAGTTTAAAATATGATAGTAACTTCAAAATTTCACATTATAGAAAAGTTCAACATAATATTCACTATTGTAATAAAATAACATTGCTACAGAGAAAAAAAATTAAAAAAAACTCTCAATAAGATTTTTAGAGACCAACTTAATCTAAATTACAATTTACTGTAATCCGCT